TGTATATAAACATACTATTATATTAAATTAAAAATAGAATATTTATTACTTCTGATTTTACGAGTCTAGGGTGCAGAGTATGAAGTCTTGGATGATTCTCAGGAGCATTGGTGGAAAGTTAAGGACGAGAATGGGTATATAATTCTTTTTGAAATAGCTTTGCATCTGCACGACTTGGCTCTTCTTTAAAACTTCTTTAAAACTTTTTTACGGCAAACGAGTTAGCTACGTCTTATCTATACATATTTTTTTTGTCTTACACATACGTCGTGATAGCAGCGATTAACCGACAATCGTGAAAGAATAATTGGTTATACGCGCGCAATTCACAAACAATAATCTTAATGATACTCTATAATCATCGATAATTATTCATGATAGCCAGATTGTTTACTTATGCATTTAAAATATGCATACGTAGTGGAAAACGTTGCAGAAAGCTATATGACGCGCATTTAATTGCAGATCGATCGGCTATATTCCTAGCAACTACGTTAAAGAGAAGGAATTATTGGGACTGCAGAAATACGAGTAAGTAATCATTAAATAAGTTACGAGTAAATAATCTTTTCCTCACAAATCACCGAATTTAGTATCTCTTGAATCTCATAACATCTTATTGCTTTTTCCATTTTTCAAGTTATCATTTATCAGTCAAAAAAACTATTTTGCTAGCAGAACTTGAATACAGCGCTCGGTAGTGATCTCATATAAATATATAATAAATCGTAAGATTGTACATGATAAGGGTAAAAAATCGTTTCATTTGTAGATGGTACGTAGGTGATATGTCAAGACAACGCGCCGAGTCATTGCTAAAACAAGAAGATAAAGAGGGCTGTTTTGTCGTTCGTAACTCGTCGACGAAAGGGCTTTACACACTCTCACTTTATACAAAAGTGTAAGTTAACAATAATATAAGTAGGTTCCATTGACTGGCTAAATTGTTTCACATCTTTCGACTGCCGATAATTTAAAATTTTTTGCTCTGCCGTAGGCCACATCCCCACGTGAAGCATTATCACATCAAACAAAATACCCGCGGAGAATTTTACTTGTCGGAAAAGCATTGCTGCGGCTCCATTCCCGATCTAGTTAATTATCATAGACACAACAGCGGTGGTCTAGCCAGTCGATTAAAGACCAGCCCCTGCGATCGTCCTGTACCACCGACTGCCGGCCTCAGTCATGGTTAATAAAATTTAATTTATATTATATATGTACACTTTCTCCATTCCTTAATATTAATATTTTTCATATATAAAACACACATAAGAGGTCATCAAGAAAAGTTTATTTTCTCTATATGACGCTACATAACGGCTGGCGGCCTTTTTACAGACAAATGGGAAATCGACCCAGCGGAATTACATTTGTTGGAGGAGCTTGGGTCTGGCCAATTTGGAGTCGTGCGGAGAGGAAAATGGCGCGGCTCTATCGATGTCGCCGTGAAAATGATGAAAGAAGGAACCATGTCCGAAGATGATTTTATAGAAGAAGCTAAAGTAATGACGTAAGTCTCAATCTATTTTCCGCATCGAGACGTTCAATAAACAACTAGACATCCGACTGAAATCCTTTGAATTCAATCAAAAACTATATAATGTTACAACTTATTCTCTAAATAAAGATCGATATCGATCTTTAAAATATATTTATCATAATATTAATTAATTAATTTTATTCGTTTGTGCAGAAAACTGCAACATCAAAACCTAGTCCAGCTATACGGCGTTTGCAGTAAAGATAGACCAATATATATTGTCACGGAATACATGCGACATGGATCTCTTCTCAACTACCTCCGCCGTCACGAAACCTCATTAGGTGCAAACGTTGGCCTCTTATTAGATATGTGTATACAGGTAATGCAAGTTCCGTCCTGCAAACAGTAGAACATGTTACATGTGGCGGTCATCAATAAAATTCTAGTTATCAAGATTTTTCGAATCTCTTATAGTATTTACACTTTTTTGTACAGGTTTGCAAAGGAATGGCATATTTAGAGAGGCACAACTATATACACAGAGATCTTGCAGCACGTAATTGTCTGGTGGGATCGGAAAATGTAGTAAAAGTTGCAGATTTTGGTTTAGCTAGGTATAAACTATTTAATTTTATTTTTATATTCCTACATTTTACAAAAGTAAAAAGTTCAGTGTAAGCGAGTATTAAAATTTAATTGACTGAGATGATGAATATTTTCAGGTATGTACTCGATGATCAGTATACCAGTAGCGGTGGCACTAAATTTCCTATTAAATGGGCGCCTCCGGAAGTTTTAAACTACACGCGCTTCAGTTCGAAATCGGATGTGTGGGCATACGGAGTACTTATGTGGGAAGTGTTTACGTGCGGAAAGATGCCTTACGGTCGCTTAAAGAATACGGAAGTCGTTGAGCGAGTGCAGCGAGGAATTATTTTGGAACGACCTAAAGCATGTTTCAAGGAAGTGTATGAGGTAAATTGTGCCCGTTTTTCCCGTTCCTCATATATTGTGTATACAATCACGAGTTTATGGATTTGAATTTTAGGTGATGCGCAAATGCTGGGCTCACTCTCCGGAAGTACGACCGTCCTTCCGCGTCCTGAAAGAGCAGCTGATTAGTGTCTCCCAAGGATTGGTCAACGATTGACTCAACCTTCTGCGGTGTATGCGCCTGTCCTCACCATCCTGCCGATCGATCCGCTCGACGGCAAAATCGTCGCCGTCATCGGAACGATTGCCCTCTGCCGGTCTATCCTCGTCAAACTTGCCGTACAATTCAGCAACGTTGCCGTTGCGCAAGACACGCGCGCCGGCTTCCCCGCCGCCTTCCACAATCGATTTCCCTCGTCGTTTCTCATCGACTACGTGCAAATCAAAAAGAGAGGGCTCCTCGTCGCCGAATACACCCGGGCATCAAGCTAGTCAACAAAAACCATCTTCGAGCTCGACTAATAACGTGTGTGACGTTTGCAGTTCCTACGGACATCCGTGGATTGAAATATGCAAGGCGATACGAGCCACTAAAGGTAAATGAGTAAAAAGAGTGTGTGTACGTGTAATTGAGTAATTTACACTACTCTCCATTGCGACTATTAGAGAGCCGTACCCGTAATATGGAGAAGTGATTCTAACGAAACCCCATAAGCGTTAATGCCTCACTTCTTTCGTCTACCCTCTCCTCTTATCTCTCGTCCCTCTCCGTATGCATCTCCGAACATCTTGGACAGATGTTTCGTATAATACGTGACTTTACTCGATATTGAGATGCGTGATACTCTCTACGTGCGTTTCACATACTATTTTTCCCATATAATTTTTAGACTTTACTCTGTATCGTCATAAATACATTTATATAGAACAATAGTATTTATTGATGGCCTTTGCAACAGATGCAATATTCAACTTGTGATTCCGCTTAGAATAAATCATTTTTTTATTATTATTTTGACAAAAATAACACAACTTTTAATCAGAGATATTGTTTCTGCTTAATAAACCGATTTAATAAGTAAACCGTTTCCGTTTGTTTATACTTAACATAATTATAACCATTACAACTAATAAGTATAATTGTGAGATAAAAGGGAAGAGTGAAAGATATGAAGCAAGTTTATATTTTATTTTAACAAATTGATTGAACGTAATACTTTATTTGGAGTTAGCCTAATGGAAAATCATGAGTGGTAAGTAACGTACATATCATTCGTTTATTAATTATTCTTATTGTAAATTTCATTACAAATTTATAAATTATAAATCTTGTATAAAATGTAAATACAATTAAATAGCATATGTAATAAAATTAAATAGTTTAAAATACGTTATGGACATCAGTAAAACAAAGAAAGTTAGTCTGCTAAAAATATATGTTTCAAGATTTTTATGATAAATATAATGGGCGTAAACATTTTTTTTTTAAGCGTAGATGGTGTAGATCACATTTATTAAAACCATACTCGACTCAAACTTTCTTCGATATGAGTATAAGAGAAAACTTTTTTTATGTGATCCGACGTAAGAAGTGAATCTGTCGCTCGAATATCGAGCTTTCGAGAACAAGTAGCACTGGTATCGTAAATATAACAAAAATAAAAAAAAATAAGTACTTTTCTCTAATACGTGATATTTCTAAAAAATTAAATTACATTCTATTTTTAAACAAATAATAAGTAATAGATTTTGATCATTTATGGCAAAGGGCATTAAAAATACAGAAATCTTTTGAAGCCTTCTTACACGGAATTTATCATTTGCCTTTTGATGTCTGAAACAAAAAATATAAGAGATTACGCATTTTGCAGTTAAAAAGGAATTATCTAGATTGAATATATTTTGAGATTGTTGGATTATAAGGACTCTCTCAATTAATTGATATGCTTTTAAAGGCATTAGATACATAAGATACACATAAAGGTATAAACTATATTAAATAAATTTACAAAAGTTAATTATATACGTACGAAAAGTACAGGATATAGAAATGTGGAGATGCTCTTCTCCGTATATCCTGATTGTACTTTGCAAGTATATTCACCCATATCGGGCCAATCAAGATCCGTTATCTGCAGATCGCCACTAGGTAGAACAGTGTGTCTCGCGTGTGTGGTGGGACTTATGATTTTGCTCGAATTATCTAACCAGAATAGATAAGGCGCCGGGTGGCCCACGACTCTGCATGGAAGAATTGCCGTGTTTTCATTAAGAGCGAATCTCCAAGAAGCATGCAAGGTGATAGTTGGCTGAGTCTCTCTATTGCATTCGGTAGCCTTGGTGCCTAGTAGATGTAAAAAATATAATCAGAAAATTCCATAGATAACATCTATTCAGTTCAACGAAATATATTGTTGTATCGCTTACTATTAACGAGTAATACCGTCGGCGCCGATTGAGTCACTATATTTTTAGATACGGACACGCAATACTTTAAACCTTGATCTTCAACTTTGACGCAATCGATCACATATGTGGAAGTGATTTGACTAAGTCCTTCCCATTCCGTGGATATATGGCTGCTCGTTTTTTGAGCCCGCGCGGTCAACTCCTGAATCTGCAAGAGGAACGATATATATATATATATATATATTATATATATATATATATATGTATATATTCATACATATACGTGGCGCACGCGCGCACATGCGTGTGTCGGTATGTATAAAGAGCACGTTGCTATATAACTCCTTAATAAT